TGAAGCAAGTCTAGGGAGCAGCACTTGTGTGTACTGAATTATCTGCTCTGTTTTAATGGCTTCATTTTGTTCAACACCAACTGAAACCAACAGTAGCAATTAGACTTGGTATATTCCAGACATTTCCTCAAAAAGAACAAAGTAGACTTTTCACTTCAATAAGAACTGACAGTATTTGTGATAAAATTTGAGTTTTCAAGTGAAAATTAGAGAACTAGGTAGGCTGTTTACAAGAGTCAACATGCAGTTTCTAGTACTTAGAAGGATGCTTAAGGGCTGGGTGGGTAGCACAGTGGAAGGCTAGCTTATTGTACAGGAAACCCTAAATTCTTAACACCAAAACCCAATCCAAACCAACCAACAGCTTCTGATTAAATTAATGATGGTAGTGACAAATTGAATTTTTCCAATATACTATATATTAATAACTCAGATCTATATTTCCTAGAAAAGTCAGAAAACCAAGTTGTTATAGTAAAAGGCAAGACAGCTAGTGGATGTTAATGCAACAGAGTATAGAATGTTCATTGCTGGAGCTGGCAAGATGGCTCAGTCATTAAGAAAGAGCACTTGCTATTTTTACAGAGGACTGGGGTTCAGATCCCAGCATCCACACTGGATAGCTCACAACCACTCTAGTTCCAAGGAATCCAACACTCTCTTCTACTCTCTGTGGGTACTGCACAAACGGGGAACACAAGCAAGCACACACATAAATACATAAATAAAAATAAGGGCAGAGTGGTACATGCCTTTAATTCTAGCACTTGAGAGGCAAAGGCAGGCAGAGCTCTGTGAGTTTGAGGCCAGCTGGTCTACAAAGCAAGTTCCAGGCCAGCCAGGGCCACATGGTGAGACCCTGACACAAAGAAAACAAAATAAAAACACAACAATAAATAAAAATGTTTGAAAGATGTTAATTTCTTTAGTTGCAGGCCCTTCCAGAAAGTTACACTTAATTGGGGGCAATGTCAAAACAAAGCAAAAGGCCACTAAAATATCCCTCCCTTTCCCAATTACTATAGGGTTGAATTTTCTTCATATAACGGAACCAAAAATGCAATATAATTTTTGTTTGTTCATTTTGTTTCTCTGAAACTGGTCTCATATATTTCAGGCTGGCCTTGAAATCACAATGTAGCCAAGGCTGGCCTCTATCTCCCCATGCTGGGACTACAGTCGCTAGCTACCATGCCTGTCAACAATGCAATATATTTAACAAAGAAGCAAATATAAAAATATAGTTGTCTGCTACTAAGCTGGAAATTAAAGAGATTTGCAATTATGTAAAAAGATTCTCTTGTATCTTGATAACATGTCATGCTATCATGGACTAGGTTTATTATTAATTGGAAATTCTCTTTCTTTCTCCTTCTCGCTATCTTCTTCTTCTTAAATGTTATTCTTTAAAAGAGTTGCCATGGTCATGGTTTCTCTTCATAGCAGTAGAACACTGACTAAGACATATGGATGGATATACATATCCTTGGAGCTCAGGGAGTGAAGACACTTGTCTACAAGCTTGCCACCCTGAGTTTGGTGCCTGCCACCCATATGGTCGAAGGAGAGAACCAAGTCATGAAAGTTGTCCCCTGACCTCCACACTTGCACTGTGCTATGTATATGCTTCACAAAGGCATAATAAAGAAATGTAATAAAGGATTTCAAAAATAAACATGGAAGCCGGGCATTGGTGGTGCACGCCTTTAATCCCAGCACTCGGGAGGCAGAGGCAGGTGGATCTCTGTGAGTTCGAGACTAGCCTGGTCTACAAGAGCTAGTTCCAGGACAGCCTCCAAAGCCATAGAGAAACCCTGCCTCGAAAAACCAAAATAAATATGGAAGGAACATTAGACCAAAGAGTTTGAGACTTGCCATATTTTATGAACAGCTTGTCTATAAAGGAAGTACACATACAACCGTGGAAAAGGTTCCATAGTGGATACACACAGTACAGTCAGGCAAGTTTTTAATCACACAGTAGGACTGCACTTCAAGAAAATCATAGCTCTGAGCTTTGTTTTTCAATGTTTTATGAAATGGGATGGATGTAGTAACATCAGGATGGTTACTGTAAGGAACATCGAGTATGTATTATGATATTGAAAATTGTTGTAGTTTAGTGGTGGTGAGGGCGAATCACATTGTACAAGGAACCCTCACATTGGAGGTTTATTGGGGAAAAAGGGAGAGCGGTTGGAAGCATGAAACACAAAAGCCTGTCTGCCTCTTCAAAGGAGCAGAAGGGGGAATGGGTAAAGGGGGCTTAGCGCATGTGCACAGAGACTATGCAGCAATGTAGCACATGCACACAGACTACACAGTGATGTAGCAGCCATAGGACCCTGAGCTGGCCAGGTATCTGTCTGAATGCTGACAATGCATGCACACAGGGGATGCTCTTAGTGGCTACAGCTGAGGACCCTGTGGGCAGGCTAGCATTGGTGCTTGAAATGCTAGCAAGCCCATGTGCATAGGGAGTGGTTGTGGTTGGTGATATATTCTGCTAGGTCCCCAAGGGCAGGCCAGCATAATTCTTGAATTAAATGCTAACAAAAATAGTATCTTAGCCGGGCGTTGGTGGCGCATGCCTTTAATCCCAGCACTCGGGAGGCAGAGGCAGGTGGATCTCTGTGAGTTCGAGGCCAGGCTGGACCGATAGCCTCTAAAACAATACAGAGAAACCCTGTCTCGTAAAAACCAAAAAAAGAAAAAAAAAGAAAAAAAAGTATCATTAACATATCTGTATATCAAGCCATCATGTTGTCAAAAATGATCAATGCTTTTAGATTTCTTTTTCTTATAAAGTAGAAAACTAAAAACTAAATAATGTGTAGAGATCTCAGGACTTTAAGAAAAATTTTTGGAGGGCTGGAAAGATGGCTCAACAATTAAGAGAACTTCCTGATCCTGCAGAGGACCCAAGTTCAGATCCCAGCACCCATATAGAGTGGCTCACAACACCCTCTTCTGGCCTCTGGCCTCTGGCCTCACTCACTCACACACACACACACACACACACACACACACACACACACACAAATTAAAAATGAATTATATTTATTAATTGATTTATTTGTGTGTGTGCAGGGCACAGTCATAGGGGCATGTGGAGGTCAGAGGACAACGTTTGGGAGTCCATTTTTCTCTTCCATCTTGTGGGCCCAGGGTTCGAACTCAGGGTGTCAGAGTTGGAAGATTAGCAGCTTTAACCACTGAGCCCTCTCACTGGGCCATGGGGTTTTTTCTTGCATGAAAAATACCTATTGAGCTTTCTTTTTGTGTCTTTGTGTGTGGTAGGGTGGATGGACAGGGCCTTAGACAGCCCAGGCAAACCTTAAACTTGTTATGTAGCTGATGGTGACCCCAACTCTTGCTCACAGCTGTTAGGACTTTTGTTAGCATAGCTGTTTGCATTCTACTTGGCCATGCCATGGAGCTCACATTTTTGTGTGTGGATTTTCAGTTTGCAAACATACACATGCTCTGAATCACTACAACACACTAAAATTGTTTCAGATATAAGTGGTTTATAATCTCATTTGCTTGTTTAGAAACAAGGAAAATTCCAGAAGAGTACAAATAAACACCTTTATCATCTGGATACCATTCTTAAAATTTGACTTGAGTTTAAAGACAATCAGCTTGCTATTAGTATCAGTAATTCTTAGCAACAGAAGTTCACGAATCTCAAAACATACTGTATGACAGCATACTGTATGACAAAAACAAAAGCATAATAAACGCTGCTCACTCAAAGTCTAGCCAGGCTTAGCACACAGGAAATGTGGAGATTCTGCAGGACTGTTGCCTAAGTCCCCGCCTCAGTGCAGCAGAAATGATCCAGGCTGGGTTTACCGGAAGATATGCGGAATGTGGTTACAGAAAGGAGGTTGGTAGCAGTGTTCCCATCACAAAGCTCACCAGCCCTCGTGTCAGCTTTTGTCTCCTCCCAACTTGACACCAGCTAGGAAGCTTTTCAAAGGAAAGACTCTCTGGGGGATGTGCACAGTTACCAATGACTAGATGTGGGAAGGGACTGAGGGCATTCAACAGGCAACTGACTGCATGCCAGCTGCCATGGCTCTAAAGACGGACTTACTTAACATGGCTTAGACAACAGAGTAAAGCTTGGATGGAGACAAGCCAGAGTCAAGATCAAACACTGGAAAGCAAGCTTCTCTTCTCTAACCCTCCCCATGGCACCACCCCGAAATGGGCAGTTCCTCGCTGATGGGGAACTAACCTGCTAAGGGGGTACAGCCAGAGCAGTTCTAGAAGCACAGTCTGAATCTGTTTGGTGCTCTCTAAATTCCAGAGCTCAGAACTAGGGAGTACAAATTTTCTGCAGTTAATAAAACTAGATGGAGTAGTACATTTAGGGCTGGTGAAATGGCTAAGTGGGTAAAAATGACTGGAGTTCAATCCCTGGAACCCACACCAGGAGGAGAGAACTGACTACACAAAGTTGACCTACAACCTTCACATGTACGATTTGGCATGTGTGTGCCTGTGCGCCTGGGTTCTCTCTTTCCCTCTACTTCCTCCACTCGAATAATAATAATAATGATAATAATATATATAATTTTATATATATATTTTTTTTAAGTGACCTGGTTTGGACCACATAAAAAATAATTAGGATGTATAACACTTAAGAAAAAATGGAGAAAGCAACAAAACATAGGGCTCTGCAGCATGGATTTCTAACTAGAAAATCTTAATTATTGTTCCTCCTTGTGGACCTTATAATACAAAAAGATGGTCACATGATCAACCAGGTAATATGCTATATGGACTTAGTAGACACAGTTCCTTGGTTACTGATGATTAACACATTTAATGCCTGCAGCAATCCTAAGAAGTGGGTGCTATCATCCACCCCAGTTTACAGAAAGGTGAAGTGACTGCTTGGTGTTTCCAACCCAGGCAAAGGCTCCGGACTCTAGGTTCACAAGAAGGCACACCAGTGATTCTCACCACAACTTGGGTTTTCTTACCTCTGGCTTGCTGAGGCTAGATGAAACCAAGGAACCAGATCCCACGTCCAAATCCCACTGCTTTTTACCATGGTTCTCAGCATCCAGTGCAGCGATTCTTCCATCTAAAGTGCTGATAATCACTAAGGATCTGTAAATGAAAAATAAGTAGAACACAATTTGGAAAGCAATCTAAGACAATGTGCACTTATCCTATCACTTGAAAGAAAACTAATCCCATCAGAAAGAAAAGAGGGGAGACCGCTGCCCCTCCACCTTTAAGGTCTTGCCACCTATCTGTCTCTAGAGCAAGTCAACTAACTTCACTATGCCCTGTTCAAGTCTGATGAAGAGCCCTCAATTCCTAGGTCTCTCTTTCCTCCCACATCCTCATCACAATGAAGATCTCAACATCCCTGGCTGTGTCCTCTCCTATTCTCTTTTTCCCACCTCCTGAGATCCATTGCTTTGCAATACATTCCTCCCCAAATTTTCTTGTATATATACGTGTGTATGTGTGTGTGTGCATGTGTGGGGTCAGAGCCCCAGGGGTCTTCCTGTCTCTGCATCCCCAGGGCTGGGATTACAGTAGTGTACCACTACACCGAGCTTTTACTTGAGCCTTCTTGCTTATACATTATACAGCAAGCACTTACCTGAATGAGCCCTGACCCCAGGACCCCTCCCTAAACCTTCATTCTCATCCCCCTCCCCAAATTTTCACTCTGCTGCTTACTTTCCTAGAACTTTCCTTAAGAACATGGCTTCCTTATGGAAGAGAAGACATCTCCTACCATGACTCCTGACTACCAGTTTGTTTTTTAATCCCCTTGCTACTTCTAGCTCATTTTTTTCTCTTCTCCCTCTTGGGGTCAGGCTATTCTCCCCATCACCCCTCCTAGTGATCCTGTACTGACCCTTACATAGGGTACCAGCTTATTCCTGCAAGAGTTTAGCTGCTGGTAACTGTCACTAGTTCACATTACTTCTGCTCAGTTCTCTGGGCTTTTACTGTGTCTACCTTGTGCCGGCTTCTCCTGAGACCTTTGAATTTGTCAGGACCACATTTCAAGCATCTTGCTCCAGTCGCCAAAATGTTTCTTTCCTGTTTGCTTTCTCTTCTTTGACTCCCACAAACCTCAGACTCCACAGGAAGGTATAAGTCACTGATCCTACAACCCTCACTACCATCCACAACTGTGAGAAAAACATTTGTTGTTTCTGGCCTCTCAGTTTATGGCACTTTATTATGGCATCCTGAATACATCAGAATAGGATCCAAATCTCCTATAATTCCCAACTTAAAATCAAAACCAGCTAGGCCTGGTGGATATGCCTATGTTCCCAGCATCTGGGAGGCTGAGGCAGGAAAATGACGAGCTTAAGGCCAACTTGGGCTACACAAAAAGACCCTGTCTCATAGCCCCCTTAAAAACCCCCAAAAGTCCGAATCAAGTCAAACAAGCGACTCTAGCCTCTACTCCCTTTCTTGTGTCTTTCTACAACAAAACTCCCACAGTACCAAAGCAGTTCTCACTGGAGTCACTATTGATCTTCACAAATACTCAGGGCCAAGGATCACTCAATTATCACTTTGGGATACATACTATTTATGTGGCTGCTAAGATACCATATTTTCCAGATTTAGGTATTCATTTATTTATTTATTTTTATGGAGCCAGAGTCTCTCTAAGTAGTCACATAGCCTTGGTTGTCCAGGAAGTCATTATGTGCACTTGGCTGGTCTCCAACACAAAGGTCCACCTGCTTCTGCTTCCAAGTACTGGCACTAAAAGCATGTGCCACCGTTCCTGGATATTTTCCTACTCCCCCCAACAGAGACTACTGCAGAAAACCACAACCAATGACAATGCAAAGGACAAGAGGTCATGAGATTATGTGGTACTCAGTCCCAACCACAACATCTACAACTCCTCAGGCTCAGGGATCATTTCAGAAGAGTGGAAAGTTCATAAGAATCTGGGGAACAGGGAGTTTGCTGTGAGACTGTGTCCCCTAGAAATGTCAGAGAAGCTACATCCCTGAATTCTCATCAACAAGGCTGCCTAAACAATAATGACACCAATGGACATGATAATGATAACTTGGAAGGGTGAAAGTTCGTAGGGACTCAACCCTATAAAAACTACCAGCAACTGGGGAATTGTGGGAGTGGAAGAAAGTTTTCTCCAGGGAAAAGAGCTCCCCCTACCCCTTGCAATTGATTATCTTATACCAAGTGGTCAGCCTTGAAACAGAAGTAACTTTACATGGAATGGACACACACACAAAACAAATAATAAAAAAATAAATAAAATTTTACATCTTTTTAAAAGACCACACAAATTCCAACTATACATATGTATACACACACATATATATAGTGTATATATAGCTGTATATATATGTGAGTGAGTGTGTGTATGTGTATGTGTGTGTAGAGAGAGAAAGTACAATTAAAGAAGAAAAAAGACCATGAATTTGAAAGAAAGGGGGTAAGTGGGAATGACTGGAGGGAGGAAAGGGAATAGAAGAGATTATGTAATAATATTATAATTTTGAAAAATAAAAATTATAAAAATTATTTTTTCACTCAATTCTATGATTTCTCAGTTCCATTTTCTGGTTCCTCTTCATCTTTCTTGCCTCTTAAAATAGTCTTCCCTTCCCTATGTTTAACTGTTTTGGTGATCTCAGCCAGTCTCATAGCTTTAAACATATCTCTGGCTCTAGGCTTCTTCCCTGAGGTCTGGACACAAATGTCTTCATACTCTAACAAGTTCCCTAACAGGCTTCTTGATATATCAAAGTTGATATACCCAAAGTCAAGACTATCCTGAGAATCCCTCAAATGTTTAGATGCCATGATTTTTCTTACTGTTATTATCTTTTTTTGCATGGGACATACACCCCAGATACACAGCAGACTGTAAATTTCTCATTGGATGGAAGAATGAGTTGAACACTGGTTTCAACAGAACTGGTTTAGACACTAGGAATTCATTGGGCTCATTTGCCTGCTTTAAAGACCATGCAAGAGTGATGGGTGAGGGTGAGGGCTCAGCTAGTAAAGGTGCTTGATACCGAGCCCAACATCCTGTTGATTCCTTGGGCCCATAGGGCAGGGAGAGTTAACTCCTGAAGGCTGTCCACTGATCTTCAAATGTGTGTGCTCAAGCACACACTGCAGGAACACACACTGCAGGAACACACACACACACACACACACACACACACACACACACACACACACACACACACACACACCATCTTTTTAAAAGACCATACAAATTCCAACTATGTATCATTAGGTTCCTGGTTAGGGTTATAAGGCACAATTTCACTCCCTGCATTGCATTTTTTTGTACACTATATGGAAAGTAAAGTTATAAGTTAATCAAGGAAATAAGTTAATATAAACTCATTTGAAGTATCTCAAAGAACAATTTGTGAGGTGTATGGTATACTCCATGATCCCAGCACTTAGGAGGCAGAAGGACCTCCAGCAAGTCAGCCTGGACTACATAGCAAAACCCTGTCTAAAAAACAAACAACACATAAAATAAATGCAATTAACAAATTATGCATTAATTTTATTATTTTTGAATTTTAAAGTAGTGACCCTTTATCTTATTTGTGATAATAAAAATTTGCCACATAACTTTAGTTGACAAACAAAAGAAAAAGACCAGCCCAATTCCTTTTAAACTTTCTACCTGTTGCTGAATCTGGTCTGCAACTCTGAGGTCAAGAGATTCTCACCCCCAGCCTCCTGAGAGCTCCGTGGAGTGTTAAAAAAATAAAATAAAGCAAACCCTATAAAATCCTCTACCTCTCGTTTTACAGGCTAGGGTGTGTATGACAAGTTGGCAGTAACAGACTAGGAGTGTTCACTTTGGCTCCTTCCCATAGCTTGTGTGGCTGGAATCGAGCAGTGTCACCTAGTTACAGTCAGAAATGGACGCTCACTGCCACTGACCGGGAAAGCAGTAAGTAGCCAGACTCTGCTAAAAACAAAGAGCTCCAGCTGAGTGCAGGGATAACAAAGGGACAGAGGTGACACCTGCATCACAGCAGAGAAGTGAAAACAGGGAGGACAGAAAGGCATTAAACCCCTAACTTCTTCAACAATCAAAGAATTCACAGGTGGCGCCTGGAAGTCAGACCTGGTATGCATCTCCTTTATTCTCCTGAGAGTTTTAATCCATGGCGGTTTTATAATTTTTATTTATATATTTATTTTGCAATGTATATGTGTTTCATGCCTAAAGGTGACAGCTGGTGTCTTCCTCAGTTTTGTTCCATTTTATTTAAAGATTTTTTTAAACAAGATTTCTTTTTAGCTGTGCTTGATGGTACATGCTTTTAATCCCAGCACTCAGGAGGCAGGCAGATTTCTGTTGAGTTCCAAGCCAGCCTGGTCTACATAGTGAGTTCCAGGCCAGCCAAGGCTACATAAAGAGACCCAGAATCCTTCTCCCACTAGTCCAAAGGATTTTTTGTGTGTAGTTTGTGCATCCATGTTTTGTATCTGTAAGTCACGTTTGTGGGTGCTTATGGAGCCAAAAGAAGGTGTTGGGTCTCCTGGAGCTGGAGTTATTGTGAGCTGCCTGGCATAGGTGCTGGAAACCAAATTTGGGTCCGCTGGAAGAGCAACAAGTACTCTTGAATGCTGAGCCATTTTCCTGCCCCTCTACTTTATTATTGAGACAGAGTCTCTTTTAGAACCCAGAGCTTGACAATTCCCTCTAGTCTAGTTAGCCAGTTTGCTGAGAGTGGGAGGAAGGGAGGAGAGTTGGTTCTAGTCTTTACACCTGCAGAGCAGCAAGTGCCTTAACCACTGGGCCATCTCCCAGCCCCTCACCTTGATTTTTAACAGGTAAAATAGAGCTATTTCATCTAGCTCAATATAACCCAAACTGCCCTGCACTCGGGAGGCGGAAGCAGGTGGATATATGTGAGTTTGAGACCAGCCTGGTCTACCGGTGAGTTCCAGGACAGCCAAGGGTACCCAGAGAACTCTGTCTCAAAAAACCAAAATAAAAATAAATTAAATTTAAAAATAACAAACTATTAAAGGATCACAAGACAACATATGGTGACATCCAGGGTGAATTTCATGCTATGCCAACTGAACTGCAACAGAGGAGGCAAAGAATTCACAACTCATTAGAACATGATCTGTAACCACTTCTGGAAGTACTAGTTCCTTAGTGTAGCAGAGCATCTGTTTGGGATTCCCAGAAAGCACCACTCCAAACCTTTCTGGCTACTGCAGCAAGGGTTTCAGTGACCTATTCCCTTTTCAAGTGTCCCAGGGAGCGCTTCATTCCCACAGACTCTCACCCACCATTCCCCTAGCTCTCCGTCTCTTCCGAGCAGGCACTTTCTCTGTACTGCATGCTCTTCCTGGAAAGCCAAGGCCTAGTTTTCTTTCTTGGGAAAATGACAGCCCCAAACAAGCTGACGGATTTGTGGTTCACCATCCCTTTCACAACAGCTCAGCAGGTAGGTTCCACCCCTTATCAGGACGACACACTCAGAAAATAAAACCTCTCACCAAATTTCTTCCTCCCTCCATTCACTTTGCCTCCTAACATAATGTAGACCTCACCCCTCCCCACCCCCCACTCTCTGTACTCTTGATACTGTTTCCAAAGTTGCCCTTAAATTTGTCTCTTCATTACCCCTGTCTGGGCCCTATAACAGACCTTCATTTTCACCAAAACACCACAAAAGCCTGTCTGACACATTTTCTGGCCTCAGGATCATTTCTTCCCCTTTCTGATGAGTTTGAATCCACAGAAGAGCTCTGACTAACTTTTGCTGTGCCCACTGCTTTGTAAGGGACAGAACACTTCCACAATTTAGCTCCTGTGGACTTTCCTAACCTTGTTTTCTGTCTCTGCTGCCAAGCTAATGCCCTCTCCTCACACCTCTCTCAACCCATGACAACATACACACCCCCAGGGGCTTCTAGCCCTTTCAACAGGTTCCTTTGCTCATTCAATTTTCACCCTGTCTTTAAATATTTCATCTGCCAAGTGCTTAATACATTCTTTTTTTTTTTACATTTATTTTGTTTGTTTGGGGGCGAGCATACACGTGCTACAATCTGAACTATGGATGTCAGAGGACAACGTGCAGGAGTTGGCTCTCTCCTTTCACAAAGTGGGTTCTAGGGACGGAGATCATGTCATCAGGGTTGGCGGCAAGCTCCTTCACCTGCTGACCCATTTCGGTAGCCTACATTGCCCCAGCTTTAAGGAAAAATACGTAAAACTGGTCTAAATATTCAGGGTTTCTGCAAAGAAAGAAGTATAATTGTTATCGAAGGCTTGACATAATTTGAGCTCAAAGCAAAGAAGTTCACTCTTTTGTGTTTGTTTGTTGGGACAGGATGTTTTATAGCCTTGGATACACTGTGTATCTAGCACAGGATGGCCCTGAATACCTGATCCTTCTGCCTCTGAGTGCTGTTGGGATTACAGGTATGTGTCACTCACCACACCTGGCTTGGCTTTTTATTTAGTGTTTTCCTGATTAAATGTTTCATTCCATTACATTATTTAAAAAAACCTATAGTCCATGAATTGCCACTGGATCTCAAAGATCCCTATACAGATCTACAGTAATTTGGAAACTCAGATGAAGTTCTGCTAAGTTCACTGTAAAACCCCACTGGGCCCTTGCTTGTGTGATTCTGTTGCTGCTTATTCTGACCAAGAGGATTTCTTTTTTAAATTGAAATTTTATTTATTATTATGCCTACATGCATGTGTGTACACATGCATGTCCATATCGATATCACAAGACAACTTTTGGGAATCAGGCCTTTCCTTCCCCCTTATTTTTGGGGCAGGACCTCATTTGTTTCTGCTGAGACACTGTATTCCAGACTAGCTGACCTGGTAACTCTCCTGTCTCTGCCTCCAATCTTGATATAGGAGTACTGTGTCACCTCATTTGGATTCCAGAGATCAAATGTAGTTTTGGGCTTCGTGGAAGCCATTTCATCCACTGAACCATCTCTCTGGCCCTTGGCATTTCTTTGAAAAATGTATTTTGTGTGTATGAGTCTTTTACCTGCATATATGTATGTGTGGGTGCCTGGTGCTATGGAGGTCAGAAGAGGGTATCAGATCACCTGGAACTGGAGTTAGAAGGGCTGGTTGTGAGCCAACTGGATGGCTGTGAGCCACCATACAGGTGCTGGGAACCAAACCTGGGTCCTCTGCAAGAGCAGCAAGTGTTCTCAACTGCTGAGCCACCTCTCCAGCTCCCACCCGACACTTGTTATATTCGAGGATTTGATAATATGACAGTGACACACTCTCCAGCTTCATGCCATGAGGATGCCTGAAGTAACCACCATCTAGTTAATTCAGTAAACAAACTTATTTCTGCCAGACTCTGAACTTCTCTCTAATTTCAGTGCCTGCCAGTGCTTAGACTAGTAAAATAAGGAAATTTTTATCACACAATGTAATTAGATGATGTAAAGACATCCACATCAAACACACAGGCTGAGAAAGATGCAAAAAAGGAAGTTGCCTAGGATCATTCACAAATAGGTTTAGGACAGTGCTGGGGAATTCAGTCTTTCCAGCTCTGTTCACCTATCAACTCCAAATCCACCCTAATGACGGTTACGCTATTATAATATTTTTTCTTTCTTTCTTCCCTTCCTCCCTCCCTCTGCTTCCAGAATGTCATCAGGGTGTCATTTATCTTGAACCACTCTGATTATGTCCTCAATTAAGCAGAAATGACTTTAGACCAAATGAATACACAGACTGTTGGACTGACTTAATTTAAAGAACCTTTGGCTCTGACTTCAGTTGCTCAGAACATCTGTCTACTAACACTTAGCTTGCCTGATTCTGGTACATGCTTAGCTTCTTCATAAAGTCATTTCAAAAGGAGTCTTATCTCCTGAGGACTTTTCAGCAGGTGACAGAAAGCATGATCTGGATTGAATAGTTTACAGATTAACAGCTGCTTACTTTCTGCCAGCGGTGGTGGCAGCGAAGGCCTTTAAACCTAGCACTTGAGAGGCAGAGACAGGTGGATCCCTGTGAGCTTGGGGCCAGCTTGGTCTACAGAGTGAGTTTCAGGACAGTCAGGGCTACCCAGAGAAACCCTGACTTGAAAACAAACAAAAACCAAACAAAACAAAGACACTGCTTACTTTAATTATTTTCTATTTATTTTCTTCTAATGAATATACTTCACAAGCCTGAAAATGTGATTCAATTGGAATACATACATACATACATGTATACATATATGTGTATGTATATATACATATATGTATGTATATATTATATCCATCCCTCAATAGGGCCAAGAATCTTCCACCAAAACACACATTCAGTAAAAAGAAGCTTGTGTTTTCATACAAAAAAACAAAAACGAAAAAATTAATACTGATAGGACTTGACTCCCTAGTCCTCATTTACTAAGTATGTCTTCCAATCAAGCCTCCTGTATTTAAACATATCATAAGAACAGCCAGGCTTCAAATGAAAACAAATATAGTACCTTAAACTGTCTACTATGTTTAATTGTTTTGACATATCAGCTAAACCTTGAAGAAGCCTAAGCAAATTTACAGGTAACATAGGAGTAAGAGAGAGTTCTTTTAAGATAGAAACATTTTCCAGGCAGGATATGGTGACACATTCCTATAATCCTAGCACTAGGGACTCTGGATGGTCATGAGCTAAGGCCAGCTTGGGCTACATTGTAACACTGTCTAAACACAACAACAAAACAACTGAGCATTTGGTGGTGGAGGTCAGAGGATCATGAGTTCAAGGCCAGCTTGGGCTACATGAGGAAAAAAAATAGCATTTCTATATTATACAATGAAATACTTTTACTAAAAATGGTTACTCACAAATAGAACAGGGTTTTGAAAACTACATGTTTAATTTCCCCTCACATTTACCCCTGTACCTTACAAGTTCTCCTCTACCATTAGTTATTATTATCTTATTTTGTAGGTTTTGTTTGCTTGCTTGCTTGCTTTTGGTGTTCCTGATGAAGCCCTGGGCCACATTCATGCTAAGTATTTGTCTATCACAGAGCTACACCCAGGGTCCTTCAAAGTGTTTTAGAACAATTTGTATAAACAACTCGTATAAGCAACTGCTTTCATTAAAAAGAAAAGGAAAAGGGAAAAAAGCAAGTGGAGATGCAGCTTTGGTGGGAACTGGGTAAAATAAAAAAGCAAGTGAAGATACCAGGTAATTGGTATTGACAGACAGGGTCCCTTTTGTAAAATGAACACACAGAGCTGAGATCAAATAAAGAACAGCCTAGTCCTTGTCACAGGTAGTCAGAGTCTAGGCATCAATAAGTTAAGTCAAAGTCAATTGTAGAGAGGAAAGACAGTTCATTTATTTGTTCAAAGTATGTTTAATTTGGCTTACAACTTGTTTGGGGGGTTACACGTACATTCTTCTTTAAATGCGATTTTTGGTTAACCTCCAGGGTCTAGAGTGGGAAAACTGAACACTGACAGCCTACATGATTGACAGTGCTCTCTTTCAACACAGTATTCAGAGATACCATGTATTAATGGCCTACAGAAGGTTTAAAGCAACAAACAAAATACTATCTGAGGAAGACCAGATTTCTGCACTTCTGCTTCCTATCCACTCAGTCTGGGAAAAGACAGAGTCCAAAGAGAAGCAAAGAAGAATTAAATCATCTTACATATGCAAAATGTTTGATGTTATCTCATTTAATCCAGAAACTTCTGTTAGCAGGTGCACAGTATACAGACACTAGGAAGAAGTGTCAAGTTCAGTAATACTTTTGTTAGGAAGTAGAGAGAACAAGCAAGGCAAAAGGAAACACATTTTGCAATGAGTATGACAAGCAAGATTAATTTAGTTATTTATAACTTCAGAATGTCTTCAGTGTGAAATGACCAACCCATTAAAAGAACCTCAAGTAACTCTCTGCAGGCCCAACCCACTGCAGGAACCAAGTAACACTTGGCAATTTGTTACATATGTTAGAATTAGAGCTAGTTATATAAACTCTGCCAGTATCCACAAAATCCAATAGTTATGTGTGAGACTGTGGTGTTTTTCCCTATTTTCTGTGTGTGGGGGGGGTGGCAGACCATTTACCAGTCTAAAGCTTAGGAGAAAACTTTCAGAGACTGCTACTAGAAAAACAAGCCTACATTTTTGGAAGAAAAGAATGTCTATCCAGTCAGTCACATGCCTGAGATGCAGAGTAAACATGTGGAGTGCCATGGATAAAGACGATGAAAATCTATCAAAGGGGAAAATGAATCTCAGTAGGTCCCACCTGGCTATGCATCAAAAGACAAGACACAAAAACACAGACCTTAATTCCCCACCTCCCCCTGTTCTGCAAGCACCATAGTTATGCACAGCTGTTTGCAATCAACGCTTGGTTAACTCAGATCTGTCCCTACAGTCCTCCCTTTGAGACAAACAGGATATAGTTCTATTATTATGGAGCTGTTATCTTCAGTTTTTTTTTTTAACTTGTAAATAGCAGACAAAGACTTTTACTAAAACTTTGAATGTTTATCTCTTGCTGACCCAACTCACCTATGGCTTCTCACTCATTCCCACCATGCTAACATCACACTACTGTGCAGTTCTGTTGGCCAGGGATCACATACACTTCTCCTGGCAGATTTCCTCTGGCTTCTGAGTAGGGATGAGAGTGGTCCTCTGGACAACAAGCAGATCCTTTCCTGCATTCTGTAACCCAGAACTCACAGCAGCCCTCCTACCTTTGCCTCCCAGGTGCTGGGATCATTTGCAAGAGCCACTTCGAATAAAGAGCCCCCTTTATTCCTTTTGTTTTCAACCTGTCTTATACAGGCTCCCTCCTCAGAGACTATCTGTGAGGAAAGGAGAGGATGGGGCAGAAAGAGTGGTCCTTTCCCTTTTACAATGTATTTCCCTGTTGTACTTAAGCTGGTAAGTGTGCTCATCTCCAAATCTTTCCAGACTCAGGCCTATACTCTATCTTAGTTAGCTGACCTCTCTCTAAGATGAAGGCATTTCCTGGGCCTTCATCGTGAGCACTTCCTTTCTCTTATAACTGAGGCTATCTGTCCTGCCTTCCCTCTGGCTACCGTCATTCATTTCTACCTTCCTGCCAAGCATCAGTCTGGATATCCTGCAGGTCTGAGACATCAGGACCAACACCAAACCCCCTTACTTTTCTCCCCAGGTTCCCTAAACCTCTTGATGTTTCTTTGTTTGCTGTCATCTTCTGGCCACCAACTCTCCATCTTTAAACAGGTTTACCAAGAGAAGAACCAATTTACTAGCCAGGAACCAAGATTTTGCTTCAACTATCTCTCAGATTAGTCCCATGTAATGGTATATAATACTGAACTGTTCTTTTAGTATCCTTACCTCAAGTTTCAGTAAACCCTGTTGCTAGAGAAGTATTTCTGCATAACTTTTGCTCAGGTCTGCCATTCAAGATAACATTTCTCAAATTAATATGCATGTAAATCATATAGTGATCTATTACAATGCAGATGCTTTGTCAGTTAAGTCAGGTGGTACCTGATCTGGAGGTCTAACATGATCTAACATGTTTCCAAGTGATGTTGTTAGGGTAGCGCATGCACTTGCGTGACTGGCATGTGTGCACACACATGACAAAATGGTCTCAGCATAAATTCCAGCCCCGTGCCTCTTGCTGTCTAAAGTCCACTATCCGAATTCTACCCATTCTAAAGAATGGAATCATTCTGTCACAGCAATTTCTTATCTACAAAACTACCTCACCCCTTTTCCACACACAGTGAGACCCACAAAAGCCTTGGATCACCCATGACACTTCATTTTCGCTACGGACCGCTGGACTGCATACTCCCCCCAGGGGCGGGGGCTACCTGCTCAACCTCAGGGCTGCTTTAGTAAGTACCTGCTGCTGGAGGTGTGTTCTCAGGAAAACAAAGTATTTCACTTTATTTACTCCATGTAATTTACTCTGCACAGCTGCTCCAATCATCCAGGAGAGTCCATACATTAGCAAATGTATGAAAAGTGTGTTATTTACTACTTAAAAACTTTTAAATATAAGCATTCAAACGCTGTATGGAGAATTTTAGGACTTAGTCTATTTCTAGTAGCCGATGGGTACATAGATCAGGGTTCTGATACTTGTTATAATTTAGTAGCTACTATGTTATAAACTTAAAACATTTTCTAATTTAGATCTGGCTTTCCCTGTCTTGCTTTACCTAATGATCTTTTTTCATTCCTTTTGTTAAATAGTGCCATTTCTCCACACGGGCTGTCTGAAAAATACTTCATCATTAAAGTGTTTTACATTCCATGCAGACTGTGAAGATTGCTTCAAAACTTGTCTCTTGAATTTGTATGTGTATAAGGCTAAGAAACCCAACTGAAATAAACGATGGTAACCCCCTTTAAATATCATAGAACTGCCCGTATACAAGAGCCTAACCAGAGCGCTTAAACTTTAGTGTGTCCAAGAGCTGTCGGGAGTGCTTGTTCAACAAGCAGATTCTAGATTCTCACCCAGAAAAGGTCTAGTTCAGTGAAACCGGGGCGGAGCCTAGAAAACTGTCCATTAAACCAGCATGCCCCCAGGCAATTCTGATGCAGGTGTTCCAGCAGATCTCAATTAGAGAAACGGAAAATCAAAACCCTGGACTAGAGCCACAACGTACTTGTATTTGAAGGGTTACATGTAGACATCTCTTTTGAAAGCCCTTTCTCAAAACAGCTGTCGCAACGGCAGAACGAGTTACATATTTGGGAGTGGGAGTGTAAAAGGGGCCAGGAGGGTGGCTAAACCCGAAAACAATGAAAGCGGAGAAGTGGACTTTCCTCTCTAAACCGGGCGCTGGGTTCTCCAAGCATCCCTCATCCTCCTTTGAGGATGCTGTTGCCCTCCCACAGACCGGACCAGGCAGGCACTCCAAGCGACTCAGGAAGGTGCGGCGGCTTTCTGCTTGTCTGCAGTCACTCGCATCCCCGCGAGAGGCACCTGGACCCCGGCCCGCCACCTCTCACCTGCCGCGCGGCCGCAGCTCCACGTCGTCGTCCGGCTCCGTCGCGCGTGACTCATGTTCGCCAGCGGCGGCCGGCAGCGCCTCGGCGTCCTCCACGGTCACTTCGGCCGTAGCCACCGCGGGCACTCGCTCGGCCGAAGTCGGGGCGGCCGCGGCCCCCAAGCCGAACGCCGCGTCCGCCGTGGGCGCGGGCAGGCTGCGGGCGCGCGCGGCCGCCGAGATCCCCGCCGCGCAGCCCAGCAGCAACAGCAGCAAAAGCAGCAGCAGCGCGCGCGGCCCGGGCCGGGTGGCGCGCTCCATCAGCGGCCCGCCCCACGCGCGGGCATGGAGACCCGGCCGTCCGCGCCCGCCCGTCCCTCCGCTCGGAGCCTCGGAGCTCCGCGAGCGCGCGCCACGGACCCCGCCGCCTCCCGACTTCGCGCCGCAGCAGCAGAGCTGCCCGGCCACGTCTCAGCCACCGCCACCTGAGTGACAGCCTTGGGCAGACATCGCCCATTGAGCGAGCGTTCCGCGCTTCTGCTCTGCGATTGGCTGCGCGTCCTGCCACTCCGAGCCAGGCGGACGCGTTCCCGGTTGTCAACATCATACCTACCAATCAAATTGTAGTTTTGCGCGTGGAAGCCCGGCCCTTTTCCGGAAGCGATGACCAATGAGAAATGTCCCTTCCCTGAGTCCGCTTAACTGATTGGTGAGCCCTTCCGGTTCCCGAATGCCTTCTTTGGAACAGATTGGCCTGCCCTGTGATCGGCCTCGCCTCTCAAAGCGAGGCGCTGGAGAAGGCTTGGAGATCATTGGTGAAAGGACATGTCTTTCAAAGGCCCGAGATGGCTGCTTCTTGATTGGTTGGAAGCGGCACTTAGTACGTGGCCGATTCTGACTGTGAAGAGGACGGTCCCCAGTGAAAGGGAGAGTGGGAGTGAGTCCCAGGTGGCCGGGAGGCGGCCGACCTTAAAGGGACAGATGCTTTTCCTCTTCCCAAGCCGAATCTACTTTGAAAGAAGAGGGGTGGCGGAAAGTGACTGCACAAGTCGTGTGCCATTAGAAGAGGATGGAAGAGAAAAAGACGAGATTAGGAGTTGTCCAATGAGCGGCCAGCACGGTACTAAGAATTACAGTTACCGCTTTGATAGAGATGACAGTGACCTGTGCAACAGATAACCCAGTGCACCGTAAACGCCTCCTACCTCTTTATAAACGAGGATCCCAGGTCTGCTGCACTCAAGTAATCTGCCCAAGGTGACATAGTCGCAAAGCCGAGACCGCTGATTGGTCTGGCATGGTCTCAGGAGAAATAAAGCTATTAGCGGCCAAAGTGGCGAAGGTCTGAATATTTAGCTAAAGCATCTAAAATTCTCTTAAGGCAGTTAAGAACATGCTGAAGATTTCTGAGCAGGTGTGTGGGACAGTAAGAAATTGCAGCCTTCAGCATTGTATTCAGAACAGCAACCAAGGCGCTGGGATTTTTCAAGATGTTGCCAGTTTGTTTAGGCTGGAGTCCATCTGCACACAAGCACACTCGGTTTCCTCCCAGCTCGGATCCGTGTAAACTCCTTTCTCCCTTTAGTTCTTACCACATTCCTTTGCTAACCTGTGCAACAAATCTCTAAATGCCTTTCTTCCTTCTCCTGTCTCTCTCACACAGTGCAGCCTCAACTCTACCCAAGTTGCTCGGACTCCAGGCTGTTTTTGATGAGTTTCAAGGAGAGTCTTGTTTTCATCCCAGTGGTCTTGGACTCTGGAACTCAGTTTTTCCTCTGTGACATACTTTGCCACTCGACCCTGCTTCCCCATAGAGCAGGATATGACCTTCAAATGACCCGCCTGTTTTGCTCAGGATGAAAACCAAAGACCTGAAGTGCTTACCCTGTATATTAGTTCTCTAGGGTTGTCATAGCAAATCCCACAAAGTATGTATTTTCACACTATTCTAGAGGCTAGAATTCCACCCTCAGGAGCCATCAAGACTGAGTTCTTCTGAGGCCCCTCTTTGGATTGTAGGTGGCCTCTCTATTGCCTCTCCATGTGGACTTCCCACAACTTGTACAGATTCCTTTTCTCTATTTATTTTTAAACATTTTACTTTAAGTTTTTATGTGTACAGTGTTGTGTTGTGCGTGGAGGAGACTATTTCCTTGGAGTTACCTGTCATCTCTGGTAATCTTTCCACCTCTTCCTCTGCACAGAACTCAGAGCCTTGGGGCAGGGGTTTGACGCAGGAGTCCTATTTAGGGCTGAGTGCTCCAAAGCCTCGCACTCCCTGCACTTGTCCAGCTGTGGGTCTCTTCATTAATTACCATCCACGGTAAAAGAAGCTTCTCTGATGAGGCTGGAGCCATGCTCTACTCTATGGGTAGAGCAGTGTGTCATCAGGAGTCATTCTACTGCTATGTACCTGTAGCAGAATAATTGTAGGGTTGATCCTAAGCCTATGACCTATCTGGTCTCAAGTTCTTGGTCACTTCAGCACGTCAGTTATGGGTGTCATCTCATGGGGTGAGCCTTAAAATCCAGTCAAAAAGTAGTTGGCTACTCCCATAATATTTGTGCATATATGGACTCACAGAGACTGTGACGGGCTCAAACCAGACAAAATCCCAGCACTAACAAGGGGAAGAGGACACAAAGTCCCACCCCTAACAAGAAGCTGTTTGTAATTGCTACCGCTAGGGAAAAGAAAGTTAGTTTTTCAATGGAGTCTCACTGGGTCTATGAACCACACTCCAGGCAGGTTCCATGCCTATGAATAGCTACTTGGTTAGGCAAAACTTGTGCTTTTTGTTTTGTTGTGGTGGCTTCTCTCCTACTTTTTTTTCAGTTTGCTTGCCTGCTTTAATTTTTGGTTGTTCCCCCCCACTGCCACCCATTTTTGTTTTTGTGCTAGAGAGACAGAACCTGAAGTTGAGTGAGTAGGGAGGTGAGGAGGAGCTGGGGGAGGGGAAAGGATACCATAAAATACATATTGTATGAAAAATTAATAATTTTAATGTAAAATTTATGTTTAATTATGTGTATTTGTGGGTCTCTGAGTATAGGCTTGTACACGTGAGTTCAGTGCCTGTGGAGGCTGGAAGAAGGCATGAATCCCTTGGAGCTAGGGTTGCAGGGGGTTCTGAGATGCTTGGTGTGAGTGCCAAGAACCAAATTATTGTCCCAAACAAGAGCAATGCATGCTTTTCAGCACTTAGCCATTTCTCAAGACCTTCCTTTTATTCTTGGAAAGGCATCAGTCATACTGGATTAGAGTTCCATACTGGGGCTTCATTTTAACTACTCACCTCCTGGAAGATTTTATCTTCAAATTATATTCTGGGATCTTAGGGGTTAGGATTTCAACATACAGATGGGAAAGGCATAGTTCAGTATATAACATCTGGATACCAACAGATGTGCTCTTTCAGCTCCTACCCACCTTTTTAAACTGGAAACCCTTACAACCTTGTTTCCTATTCTTTTTTCCCCTGCTTTACTTTTCTTAGACTTTAAATGCTACACATACTATTTTTATCTTTATTGCCTGTATAGTTCTACCTGTATGTAAGGCCTTTGATCATTTTCTCTCTGGTGCATTTTGAAGTTCCTAACAAAGTTCAGGAGGGTTAGTGAGCATTTAATAGACATTTACTGGATGAATAAATAAGGTTGGAAAGGAAAGAAACAAGTGAACAAAAAGAGAATGCTGTTGCTATAGATGGAGGAAACTATGGAAGCAACATCTTAGACTGTCTGAGGACACACGAACATCTCCATTCCACATTGAATGGAGAGATTACAAGGCATTCCCGGAGCATAAATTATTTTGGAACATAGAGAAAGTAGATTTAAAAACAAAGCTCAAACAAGTTGACTTGTCATTCACTCAAAAAAGTAATAGGTTATAATAAATTATATGAGGAAGTTGCCAGAAAACCAACATCAGATAAAAAATAATTCTTAACAGCTTGTAACAGCCCATTTAAAATTAGTTGGTGCATATTTTATTGGAGACAGTCTTCATGTAAATTTTTCACAAAGTGATTAGGGCATGAAAAAGGCTACTAATATAAGCTAATGAAGTGGGAGTGCTATCTGTAAATTATGTAAATGTTTTGCTCATGAATTTGTTTCTTTAGAAGTAAGAGCTGGGCATTGGTGGCTCACGTCTTTAATCCCAGCACTGGGGGTGGGGGAGCAGAGGCAGGCGGATCTTGTGCGTTTAAGACCAGCCTGGTCTACAAGAGCTAGTTCCAGGACAGCCTCCAAAGCCACAGAGAAACCCTGTCTCAAAAAAAAGGGAGTATTTTGTGGCACCTGCATGCAGTAATTAATAAGAATGTGACCAAAACAGTTGTAGTCCTTGTCCTTCTCCTTCTGAAGCTTAACAACTATCCAGGTAGGGAGACAGATATTAATGACTATGCATGTGCTTTATTTATTATTTATTTAATTATAAAAACAAAGATAAATGCTCAGATGGATAAGGTACCCGAAAACGAGCAGGGATGGAAAAGGCTAAGCAAAGGAAAATGACAAGCAAATCTTTCCGTTTTGGAAAGAGAAAACAGTCATGACTCAGAAGCAGCTGACTGGACTAATAACTTGAAGGGCAGAAAAGGAAGCCTGCCAGCTTTTCAGTCAGCATTGCATGTCATAGTGACAGATAGAGGCTCTGAACCTGGGTCTGCGTGTCTTGGGGGAGTGAAAGGAAGTGGAGACTAGGCATAACAGCTGGTAAGAGAGTCCAGGCCAGGCAAGACACCTGACACTGAAGCGCCCTGAACCAGGGCTGCTTGGAACAATGAAGATCCGAGACAAGCTTGGTCTAGAGGGTCTCTGAGGTGGATCTGAGATTTAGAAACTGCAAACTCAATCATTTAGAGGAGAGAGAAGAGTCTCTTTGACATCATGTCTGGGTATAAATAACAAGAGCCTTTCAAGCAATGACTGAGTAAGTGGTTTATTTTTCTTCACAGCACAACAGTCCCACAATGATGTGGACTTGTCATCTTTCTCTTCCCTCCTTCCTGAATGACATCCTAAAAGTCGCCTCACAGTGACTTTTGGGATGGTAACTGTTTCATATATAGATGTTTGTTTAAGTTTATGATAATCTAGCAATCGTTTTTCTAAAAGGGTTGTACCATGCAACACGTCCTTAGTGGTGTGAGACTATTCCAATAGTTCTTATCCTTACTAGTGTTTGGTCACTGTTCATCTCTTTGAGTCATTCTTGTGTGTGTGTCACAGTATTTCAATGTTTTTTTCTTTGAAGGCAGGTTAACCTTGACAAATACTCTGTAAATGGCAACCCAGACATCACACTGGCCAGGGACTCAAGAGCACCCACTACAAGGCAATCCATACCCACTGTACCTTCCTACGATCCAGAGACAATGACAGAAACCAAGGAATGGAACATGTACCACCAAAAGCAAGACCAGATATCAACTCCTAGAATCACCTCAATCATTCTTACCCCAGATGCCTAGACATCAGCACAAAAATGCACTAATTAACAGCCAA